ATTTATTTGTGTATATATTTATTTTATATATTTAATTTTATTTTTATTCATATATGCTTCCAATCTAATCACATATAAGGCTCTTCGCATTCACCACCTCAACGTTTATTCGAAAAAGCTTCCTTGCCACTACTCTACTTCTCATACCTATCACCTTTCACGCGAAAATATCGATTAACTGCTTTACTCCCTCGTTTGCACTTACTCAGCGTCGTACTCACAATTAGGCTAAACCTCGCTTTTCCTTCCACGCGCACTTCAATTACTTTTACACCAAGGCTCCTTTTTTTTCAAGATGATAAATCAAAATTTGAATGTTTGCTATATTCTCACGCCGCTTTTAAAGCCCACCCCTTAGTCAACTGCAGAATGAAACAAGCTAACTACTCACAACTTTTTCACATCAGATTTCCTTCTGATCGTTTTGTTCATTTTTACAGTAACTGTATTCCATAACTAAAAAACTTCCGTTAATATAAGTGATAAAGGTTATTTTCCCATAAATTCACCTACTGATCTTCAAATCTTACGTATTCTTCCCTCTCTGGCTTCGAGACCACGAAAAAGAATACAATTGTTTGCTGCTTGTCTTTAAAAAAATTTCCATGTAACGGACAGCAGTTCCCTTTTTTAACCATATAGAAAAGAAAGAGAATGAACGGGAAAATCTTGAAAAAAATAAAACACTGCACAGTTTTGCCTCAGCCTTCTATGTTTGGCGCATTATTTGGTAAACAATACCTATCAATAATAATTAGAACTGAGCACCAAAGCAAACAGGTTATGCAGCTCCAGTTATAGGGGTCACTGGACACTTTCCTGTTCGACCTCTTTGACTGGCTAGGCGCACACGCAAAAGAATGATGCCAAGTCAATAATAGCTGTGAGCAGCGCCCTCAAATCTCTCATACAGATCGAGGAGCAACAAACCAAAACTTCCATTTATACGGCCGCTGTTTTAATTGCAAACGAACTAAAAATAAGTTGAAGTAAAGATCAGGAGTTCAAATCAAGTTTCCGCTATATGCATATATATATATATATATATAT